CAACCTATAACACCAAAGGATTTAGTGGGAACATACAAAGGCCCAAGCCCACTAACGTTCTATTTTGCCAAGTGTTGGCAAGATTGTGCAGAAGTGGCCCGACTTTACTTGGAGAAGTTAGATAAAAGAATGAAGAAGTGGGCCAACAAGAAGAGGGTGTTTCAGGAATTCAAAGAAGGGGACATAGTGTTTGTAAAGCTATACCCACACGGTTGTGTTCGAGGGGTGCACTAGAGCTTGATGCAAAGATACGAAGGCCCATTCCTGGTGCGAAAGAGGGTTGACGAGGTGGCATACAAGGTCGAGCTTCCAGAAGCCCTATCCCAACTCCACCCGATGTTCCGCGTCAGTCTATTAAAGCCCTATCGCGGGGATGTTCAGGATCCGAGTCGGAATGAACCGAGAAGAACACCCCTAGGCATGCGGACGGCGTACGGCAAAGCGGACGAAGAGATTGTTACTGATAGGGTGGTTTGACACTAGGGATGGAAACGGGTCGGGTCTGGATCGGGTCTAACCAGACCCAAGACCCGACCCAAAAAAATATATATGGACCCAGGACTCGGATCAGACCCGATTGGACCCGGACTCGACCCGAAACTACCCGAATGGACCCGACAAACCCGATATTTTCAGAATTTTAAATATAAACAGGACCCGGTGTAATACCCCGTAAAAATACTCGCCGAAAGTTCGCCGGAACTTTCCGGAGTTCGACGCCGGAGTCGGACAATATTATTTTAGGCCTAATTTATTTTGGACTTTTGGTGTAAGAAATTAAAGAATTAGCTTTAAATTAGGAGTAAAATTGAGTTTGGGGTAAAATAAATAATAAACTAGATTTAGTTTATACGTATCTCTTGATTTAGATATCTTTATCCATAGTTTGTTAAGATATATCATATCCAAGTGTGAATTTGATAAGATATAGTGTATTCATAGTTTGTTAAAATATAGCATATCCAGGTTAGAGTGTCTATATATATAGAGAGAGAGAGGATGAGTCCAAGTGTTTTATGTTTAGTAAAATAAAATAAAAAGAAGCAGCCACGCCGTCCAGCCCCTCCCTTTTTTTTCCTTGGAATTCTTCTTCTCCAAAACTCTTCCTTTTGGTCTATTTTCTTAAGGTAAATGAGATTAATCTTAGATAGATGATACGTTCTAATCCCTAAACCCTTTCTATTGATATTTTTTTCAAAATTATTGTCAAATGGGTTTGCTCTAAAAGTGTTAAGTTTTGTCAATTTCTTCTAGAAAATTGATTATAATATCATCTAAGGCTTATGTGAAGATTATTATCATATTTTAAATTGAAAATCATAGAATTTATGGGATGGGTTTAAAACCCTTGTTTTTTCCTAACCTAATTATAGTTTTTGAAAAAGATTTACGATTATATTTAAATATTATGAATTTTGGAGTTAGATCATGCCTATTGTGATTGAAATATTTTTCGAATGTTTATTTGGCAAAATAAAGTGAGATTATAACGATCTTGTTGGGTCTAATATCCTACTTTTGTTTGGTTAAATATTGACAATTGAAATGTTTTGAGTTTACAGTTCTCTTTTTGAAATTTGCCTAAGAGAATGTTGAGTATTTGGTCAAATTGGTAATTGAAACTACCCGTTGAGTCCGATCAACTCGTCGATTGTTTCGATGATAAGGCATAGCCTTCCACCTCTGTGCCTTGCAAACACGTGAGGGTATACCGGTATTTTAGGATAACTAGCTAACCTTGAACTAGATCCCGAATGGGCTAGGTCGAAGGATCGAGATGGTGGGTTCCCTTTTTGGGTGATTCTGAGGTGTCTGTCATTCACGATGAAAAAGGTCTTTGGACCGTCATCCGTGATGGAGGGTTGGATTGCGTACAATCCCCTCTTGATATGTTATATTGGAGACTAGAGGGTTGTGGGCCGTATGGCGCCCCTCGCAAACTAATAATAAATTGATTTACGTGTACTTTGGGTTTAGAACCCTTATGTACACATTGTGGAGTTTTCCTTGAGGGTTGTGACCCTATGTTTGTTATGTGAAACTATGTAACATATACGAAGTAATAAGGTTGGAAAACCGGGTCGAGCCGGCCCTGATTAAGGCCTAGTGGAGTTTTCTTCGTGATGTGCTCGTCACTATTATTTGATAATGAAAATGAGATATAAGGGAGGCGCTAAAAGACTCGTGTGTGTGAGTTATCCTTATGTGCTATGTGTATCTTATTCAAATTAACTTCTTCAAATGATTTTGTGGCATTATACAGTATTAATTTATCTTCGATTAATTGCGCTTACTCAACCGTTGTGTTGACCCTCTTCTTACAACCTTTTCGTAGGTGATCATGTTTCCGTTATACCTAAATGATGCATCCACGTCATATGATCCACCGGGAGGAACTATAACTACTTTATCTTCTAAAATATTTTTGAAATCCATTATTAATGTTTAAGAACTATTTCCAACTTGTGTTTTTGACTCGAACTTTATTTATTTAAATGATAAGCCAGAGTGTGCTTTAATTCTAAATCTCTAAATAGTTGTTTTGTAATTGTTATTTTAGCCTTAGCGCCACAACGTAGGGCTAGTTGGTTGATGAATGAGCCTTACGGTGTGGCGTGGCGGTGACGCTTTGGTTTGAGCCGGCCGGGGTGTTACACCCGGACCCGGACCCAGACCCGCCTAAACAATTATCTATTTTTTTTCAAACAATTAAAAAAAAATAACAACAAATAATGAGCAACAACAACAGTAATAATTCAATCCAAAAAAAAAATAAAACTAAATATTGCATATTATGATTTATAATAACCAAACATGTAATCTTTTATGCATTCATCGTAAAAAATCTAAACACATTAACACAAGTCATCAATCACAACGTAAAATAACAACAATCTTCATTGTTCATCGCCATCTTCTTCTTCATCGTCAAATGCTTTTGAGCATCCGGAAGTCAAATTGCCACCTAAAATAATAAATCAACAAATAATATAAGTCTTACAATATAATAAAATATAAATATATTAATGAAAAATATATTAAAATTAACTTACAATTTGCTTCATTCCATAACCAATTTCGAGCACTTACTAATGCTTCCAAAGCATAAGGATTAAGTCTACTACGATGAGGGTTAATAATTCTTCCACTATTACTGAACGTAGATTCGGAAGCAACCGTAGAAACCGGAATAGCCAAAATATCCTTTGTCATATTTTGTAAGTAAGGGTACTTGACTCCATTCGTCTTCCACCAACCTAATATATCAAAATTTTGTGTCCTCGGTAAAACACTTTCTTCCAAATAAATATCCAACTCCGACATTATAGAAATCCTAAAAGAATCATTCATACTTGCCACAAATTGATCATACTTCTTCAATGGATCTAGATCAAATGCATTAGCAGAAACAACATTGCGAGTCATCGCACCCCCCAAATCCAGCATTCCAACATCAACCACCGAGCTCATATCCGTAGAAGACATGGCTCTAGATTGATAATCAATCAACAAATCATAACAATTTTGACGAACTTGATTAACTTTGATCTCAGCTTCATCACCATATATCAGATTAAAATAAAATTCAACTTGTACCTATGATCCAATACATCAACAACCCCCAACATGATATGACAATCACTTCAATATTTTTCATACTCTGCAAGCATTTTTTCGTCATTTCTTGAACCAACACATTTGAATTGTTCACTCATTCATCTAATTTTGATTTTATCTCACATATATGAACAAAATAAAAATTTGATGTAGGATAAAGAGTTCCAGAAAACAACTGTCACCTGATAGAAAATCTTCAACTTTCCACATATTTCAATTGCAATTTTTCAATCCTCATTACTTGGCTCATTACTGTAATTTCTCTTTCAGCATTTAAGTCGTGGGAACACATCTTTATAAATAATAGCCGTTTCTAACATCAAATAAGTTGAGTTCCAACGAGTTTTGCAATCCAGAACTAACCTTCTAGAACAATTAATATGCAATTGACGAGCAGCTTCTTCAAATTTCTCAATTCTAGAAGGTGAAGCAGTCCAATAAATCACACTATCACGCACTTTTTCAATTGCACCACTAATTATTTTCAACCCATCTCTAAAAATCAAATTTAAAATATGCAGAGCAATGCATATGAAGTACATTTTCATCCATCAACATATCTTTTGATGATAGTTTCCCCAAAATTTGTTGAATCATCGAATCATTGGTAATACAATTATCAACCGTAATAGTTGATACTTTCCTATCAATATTCCAGTCCATCAAAGACAAAATGAGGACATTTGATAGGACTTCGACGGTATGAGGAGACGGTACATAAACAAACTTATGAAATAAAAGAATTGTTCGTAAGTTTCAATTATCTATACAACAAAAATACAAAAATACCAAAATAAAAAATTATTTTTAAGTAAATATACCTCAAAATAACATTCTTCAAAGTCCAAGAGTCATTAATATAATGTCCAATAATTGACATAAATCCTTTCTTATTATTGTTTGATGTCCACATGTCCGTTGTGATAGCAATTCGACTATTAAGCTTGTCCAATATCTCATAACACTTGTTTTTTTCAACCTCATAAATCTTAAAAATGTCACATTTCAAAGTGTTTCTTGTAATCATGTTAAAACATGGCTGAAGATTACCAACAAATCTTCGAAAACCAATATGATTGACCATTGTCAATGGATAATCATGCAAAATCACCATTATTGCAAGATCGTACCTTAAATCTTCTTGATTAAACACACGGGTTTCAAGTGTTTGACCTCCACCAAGTTTTTTGCTTCCCATCATCATAACACTTTGTCGAATGTCTATTTTCCTTAGTCTTTTTTTTACATACTTTTTCAAAATGCTTCTTCAAATTTGTCGTTTTATAACCACTTGGTGCTTTGAGACGGGTTTTGCAGTAGTTGCATTCTGCATATATCATATCATCAATCTTTTTTCTTTCAAAATGATCCTACCATTCTGATGTCTTTTTTCATTTACAATCGGTGGAGTCATTAGTTTCCAAACTATCATTGTTAGTATTTTCTTCCGGAGTTTCTTGTGTATTCATATTTTCCTAAATACTGCTAACCGATGGAATAGAATTGTCAGCTCCTTCCGAATCCATCTACAAAATAACAAAATAATGCACTTGAGAACTATGAATTATCAATTAAGTTAAAAAAATAAATAAATAAATAAAAAATTGCATAGCAGCGGACAAGACATCAGGAAACACTGCATTTGAATTAATTTCTAATTTTTATACCAAATAAATTAATAACATTACGAACTATCAAAATATCAATTTTATTTTTATTAAATGTACTATTGTAAACGGACAGTAACAACAAGTAGAGCAACGAAAGAAAATTTTCACAATAATAATGATAATAACAATAATAACAATAATAATAAATAAATAAATAAATAAAACACCATCATCTTAATTCCGTTTTGAATCAACCGACAAATAAAAAAAATTCAATCACCACCCTGGATTTCGAATTCAACCTGAACAAAAATTTCTTCTTAACAATCGTTGCTGCAATTTAGAACTAAAACTAAACAAAAAAAAGTTATTTTTTCATTCATTTACTTTTAATTTTTTTGTTTAAAAAATCCAACAAATAATAGAAAAAAAAAATCTCACACACCAACATTAATAAGTAAAATTACACAATACCCTTATAAAAAAAACAACAGTGCTTAATGATGGAAAATTGAGTTGGAGAATGGATTAGATGAAGAAGAAGAAATAAATCGACCAAGAACTTGCCGTGATGGTGTCCTGCCTACATGGGGAGGGGCTGTGTGCGAATAAAAGAGGGGAGGGGGCTGCGTGAGAATAAATAAAGAGGGGGTGCTGCTAGGTTTTGTGAGGAAAAACACAATATAATTCAATTTTTTTTTAATTAAATGGCGGGTCGGGTCCGGGTCGGGTCCGGGTCGGGTCCATGCTCGGACCCTGGACCAGACCCGACCCTTAAAAAAAAATTTTGATTCGGACCCAAACCTGACCCTAGACCTGAATATTTGGACCCGACCCCAAATAAATGGGTCGGGTCCGAGTCGGGTCTCGGGTCTACTCGGATCCATTGTCATCCATATTTAACACAAGAATAGACCACCATCGACGGAGTACTTGGTCAGATGGCATGGACTACCCGAGTCCGAGATGAGTTGGGAGCAGGCGAAAGACTTATGGCAGTTTGAGGAGCTTGTCCGAGAATTGGAGGCATTGAGGGCAATGCCTAGTTCGAATGGGAGAGATGTCCCGGACCGAAACATTGACCGAGGAATGTCGAGGAGCGCTGCGGCGCGCAAACACAAAGAGGCTAACGGAAACCCTTCGGGACATTCCGGAACCTCCCATAATGTTCCAGAATGTTCCAAAATTTCCAAGAATATTCCAAAATATTCTAGAATTACTGAGATCGCCCTCCGAGTTAGCGTCTATCCATTAGAGATAGTTTATCCGTATTTTTTTATATAGCTACCTTTATCCGTATTTGTATGGATAGAATTTATCCGAGTGTTTATACACTTTAGCTTGTATTAGGCCCGGTTTGTTAGAATATCTATATATATATATATATATATATATAGGGGAGGACCCTTTACTTTGTCGGGTACATCCCTTAATGTTCTTACTTTCTAGCGTGCTTTGAAATTGCGAGTAAAATTGTAGGAACGAGTTCTCAAGAGTGTCAAGAAATTCCTAGACCGAACCTCGAACTCAACCCGAATCGCCCCATGCTTCCCCTGCCACGCTGTCACCAAAATCTCCAGCCTTCTATTCATAGGGAATAAATAACTCTAATTTTTTCATCGAATAACGTCACATGTCAAAGCAAATATTTTATAACATTTACTTTTATTTGGGATATTATTTTGTTTCTTGAGGAAATTGATTACATTGCTTCATTTCTCCATAAAATTTATATGTTGATTCATTTTCGATTGAATCTTTATTAATGAAACTTCAGATTGATATATTTTATGGCGTGACGTCATTTATACGCAAAATATTTACACAATATCTCCTATTTTAAACAAATTTTGTATTAATAATTAATATTTATTGTATAAAAAGTGATGTGTATGCATAATTAAATATTATGAACTTATTTGATTGAGATGTTATTTTCTCCTAAAATATAATGTAAGCATTTATTATTGATTGCCAAATTAGTTCCATTTCCAATCCATTCCATGTGTTGATCAAATAAAATATACAGAGTACTCACACATCCCATCAAGAAACTTTTAATTGAATGAATACAAAGACTACTCACCTCATACATTATTAGCAGAGCCATCGTTGTTGATCTGCACCCTCACTCTTAGTGTCAAATAGATTAAAATCATTGTTCCCAAACTGGACCTGAGAAATCATACAGCCCTTTTACTTTAGTTTATAATAGTAATAAACTAGAGATCAATATATGTAATTCACTGTTTAAAAATAAAAAAATAAAAAATAAAAAATAAAAATACATATATACATGAAGAACCATTTCCCAGAAACTAACAAAGCCAATTTCTGATTTTAATTAGCAAAAGACGCTGCTGCTTTGCTGCATTCAAACCCCCCTACCTAAATGATAAAATCCTATCTGAATATTGAGAAGAAAAAAATAAAATGAATTTTTCTGAATTGAACTTACAAGATTGAGAAGAGGAGAAGCACTCTTCTCGAATTGAACGAGGGGTATCGTTTGTATTTCCGCATTCTGTGGGTAGGCGTTTCATAAACTCTCTCGGCCGCAAACTTATCTGATACACATTCAAAGCATGTCTCTTAAACCATGTATCGAACAATATAATATATATATGTGATGAAAGAAATAGTCCATGGGGATGTATCCCAACAATTTTATTATTGTGGCCTCAAACAATGAAAACAAGCTAAATGAATGAATGAATGACACCTTAAATCATAATGAAATCATGCAAATACAACCCTATCAATTTTGGTTTTGTTTATAGTACCAAGAATATCCTCACTTGTTTCAATCCTTACCCTACTCTAAAACTAAACACACCAGTTCAGATCAGCCGCACCTTTAGAGTAATCTATCATATCTTTATCAAGCCTCCCCAATATCCGTTAGTACAAAGATAATCACGAGGCCCAACCCAGATTTGAAGTCCTCAAGTTGTTCTTATTATTGTATTTTATACTTTTCAGTTAGGCAAACCTAAGATTCAACTATTTGGCATGGGGGTGGGTTGAGTAGCACCAAACCTATCGCCATCATTAATTAAGCATCACAGTACAAGAAGCATATGATTAAAGTTATCTTGTCATTGTGCAAGCTTATTCTATTTCTTTTCATATTCTATTATCAAGCTAATCATCCGGATCGGAGGTGTACATAGGCAAAATATGTGGTTTGTGCAGGATCTTTTTTTATAGAGGTATACAATGTAAAATAATTATACACAAATCTTCAAACTGATTTGACAGCATGACGATGTAAACTAAATAACAAGAAAAAAAGGTCCCAAGCACTGCAACATGCTATTTCACTAAGAAAGCCAAGCGAAAAAAGGTTCTGGCTTTTTAGTTACCTCTCAAAGTGAACTTGGGCAAGTCCCAACCAAAGCTCATCAATAGCTGAACAAATTTCCCTCCGATTTGTAAGCAAGCCTCTCTCTGACAAGCAGGATTCAGTGTCATATTAACAAAAGTTCATCTCTGATAGGAAAGGATTAATCATAAAATAATAGCAATGTAGACACATACATCTAAGTAATCATCGGATTTCCAATTTGCTGCCGATTCTTCAATAACGGTAGAATCTTTCTCTCCCTTCTCAATATCAATATCTGGGCTGCACAGCACATAAGAATCTGCTTTGACGACCTTTTCGTTGGTATTGTTTTGTGACTTAAGTTCAGTGTTTGAGCATGTGCTGCTTTTCATCGTGTTAAGGACATCAACATAGCTGGCGTTTGTGATATGCTCAACACCAAGCAAGATTGCAACACCATGGGCATTTGGGCACTGAGAAGAATGAAATAAGCCATACATAATGAGATTAATGAAAATGTGGACTCTGCTAAGAAAATGTGCTCTAAAATTTCGGGTGAATCAAGACTAGGAAACAAAAAGTGTTGCATGAGGGCAGTTGGTATATGAATAAATTCTATCAGCATGAGCTAAAGTAATTAGGGCATAAAACTAAAGAAAATGCACGAGGGCCTTCAGTCCAATTAAATTATACAGAGACTCCATTAAAAAGGTCTTAAATGTAAAACATTATCGAATTTGGCAACATGCCTCTTCTGGTGCAAATGAGGCTTCATGAGAATTCCACAAGGCATAGTCATATTGAGGAGGAAACCAACTATAAACTCCAAATTAAATCATTCTGCCCAAACTATGAATGCAAAAATGTTCCACAAATTAGGGTCCGGGCATGCAAAGCTATTATTAATGTACAGAAAGAAAACAGGTAAGCTCTAGAAACCGATAAACGAGTTCATGATAGGCCTGAACCATCAGAGGTCAAGTCTGAGCACAAGGGCAGAGGCCCAAACCAATATATATGCTAATTATCTTTCATAGAGATGGAATGATTTCAAACATTTAGTCTAGGGATTTCTAACAAATATCCAATGCTAATTAATGTACCGTATCGTGTATTGCAAATAGCTAAATTTCTTAAGCAACAGCTCGCCGAAGTTTTTTCCAGCCAATATGCACATCATACACAAAAACCTTTACAGTTCTGCAAATGGTCATCAATGCGACTAAGTATGAAAATACTTCATCCTGTATGAACCTCAAGTCCTATTGGAAGAGCCATAGAAGAGACAGAGAAAGCAGAGATTCAGCAAAAACTGCTCAAACCTAAAATCGAAAACTGCTCATCCAATGCTCCGGCGTATACAAAAACAAAGTTTACCACCGCTAAAGAAGTGAGTAAAGTTCATACTAGTGGGGTGGATTCCTTTCTTCACAACTAAAACGGACAAAAGAAGAAGATTAATGGTGAAAAGGCTAAACTAAGTAGAAAAATCACTATCGTCAAAATGCTATACCCTCTGCAATCTGCTGCATTCGAAAAAAGCTACGGTAATTTAGGTCAACGGATAATCATCAGCAAATCATTGAAAAAAAAACAAACATACTGAAAACAAGTCACATCAAATCTCCCAAAAAAATCAAGCAGCGTTGAGGCGAATATCATCCAACCACGCGACTCCACTTCCCACCCCAAATCAGCACAAACAAACAAATTAAAGAGCAGAATTGACTCTGGAAACCACAACCACAACCACAACAAATATAATAAACTCAGTATTCACAGAAAAATAAACAAAAGCGAAATGCCGAGGGGAAATCTGAAATCTAACCTCTTGGGCGGAATTGACCGCCATTGCAGAAACTAGGACGCAGAAAATCTCCCTAAATCAGAGGTATGACCCTGGAATCAACACCGGTATACAGTTTATGCATGAATGTATACTCGTGAAGAATAGCAGATGAGGAGTGGGGGGAAGTTGAACAGCTACCAACTGCCTACCAGGAAAGCGTCTGATCACGACATTGATGATGGAGACGAGCTTTTCTGCTGTTTGAATTTATTGACGCATTTGCCCTCCGGTAATGCTGTCAGATGCTAGGTTGACTTTTGAGGGGTAGTTTTGTAATTTAATATCTGAATAAAAAAAGCCCATTATCATGGGTGACTTTCAGGGTGTGTTTGTTTGGGTAGTTTGAATTTTGATTTAAATAGTAAAAATTTTGAATTTAAATAGTTGTATAATGTGATATAAATAGTTGTTGATGTGATATTTTGAATGTAAAATTGATTTTTAATATAATATAAAAAATAAATATTTAATTTAAATTTTTTTTTTTTTTTGAAAAAATGGAATGAATAGTGTATTTGGGGAATAATTACCCAAACAAACACACCCAATTTATGAGGGTTTGGTTTTCATTTTATTTTGATATTTTAATTTAAATTTGATTTATAATACTACCTCCCCGTCTCATTAAAGTACTATAGATATGTTAATATTTGATTATTAATTATTATATCATTACAAATCAAGAGAAAATGACAAAATATTTCTATTAGTCTTTTATAATACAAATACAATAACATTTGTAGAGTAAATTATACAAAATATAAAAATATTTTTAATGTTAATTACGGTAACGCAAAAGATAAATTATACTGATTTTATGGGATGGAGGTATTAATATTTTTTGTGACTAGCTTTTCACCTTTTACAAAAATTATCCATTTCGTTTTAAAATTATAATTTTATTTTGGGATTTTTGTCGGTTTTAAAATAATAATTTTATTTTTACTTTTGATAACTAATTTTTTACATGTTTACTTCAATGTCACTGTAATACTAATATTTATTAATTCTTGTGTTCATCTCAAATATTGACGTGGTTTTGAAACGAATGGAGAAATATATTTTTATAAAAAATCGCAACAAACAAACTCTATATGTCTACTCGATTGTAAAAATATGCTCATAATACTGATTTTAATATAGATAGATAAGAATTGGTGTATTTTATTTCTTTCATTTACTTACAAATATACATAATTTTATTATAAGTTGTCCAATTAAAAAATAAATATTTAAAATGTCTTACTTTTTTTTTATTATTATTATTAAATACTCATATTTGATATCATATTTTACAGTAAAAAATAAGAGCAAATTTTTTTTACACTATTTTAAGTATGTGCTAGAATTAAAATATTATTCAGTTTATTTGCATAGCATTTCGTAATGGAACAATTCTCATAAATATTATTTAAAAAATACAAATGTACATATACATTTATATTGTTGATGTATTTTTTCAATAATAAAAAGTAAAATTCGAAAATAAAAAATTATCTTCGAATTTGATATAATTAGTGCATTAAGAATCTTTAAATACAGTAGGATACATAAATAAAATAGGAAAATAAAACTACAAACTGGAAAAATAAAGTGGTGATCCCCAAAAGCAATTCTCTTGAATTTAATGTCGATTGAAGATAATTGAAGATAAAAAATCTGCATCCTTAAATATTCCTTCAAGAAAACGTTTCAGAACCGTCGCCTGGTTGGTTACAGCAATCGCCCACTAATTCCTCTTTTATTGACACGTGTCTTTAACTGTCTCGCCAAACGCTGCCACCAGTTCCAGAACTCAACTGGCCCGACCATTTCATAAACTAACTGGTCGCTAGACCAAACGATTTATTGGTCGTCCCATCAAGCGACTAGCATCTAATCTCTCCAGACAATTCAATGGTAGTCCCAACAAGCGACCAACATCTGATCTCTCCACACGATTCAATGGTCTCCCCAACCAAGCGACTGAACTACTGTACACTTAATTAGGCGACTGATTAACAGACCTTTGCTTGGTCCAAACTCCGTATTGGCCGACTTAACCGATGGCGGACCAACCGACTGCGAACCAAATGACTGCAAACCATCTCATCCGACTGCAGACCTTCCGACCTGCTTATCCGACCGCGGACCTTCCGACCTGCCTATCCGACTATGGACCAACCGACCTGCCTATCCGACCGAGGACCAACCGACCTGCTTATCCGACAGAGGACCAACCGACTGAACCAACCGACCGTGGACCAACCGATCTGCTTACCAACAGACCGGACCAACCGACCTGAGAGCAAATTTTTCTCATTTTCCTCCCGACTTCATGTTTAAGTTCCTTTTAAGATCTTGCTATCCTTATTTTTATTATTATTATTATTATTTTTTGTGTATAACAAATATAATATATATATTATTCACTCATGAAAAAATCGATCATTCAATACAAAATAGTATAATTTTTTATTACTTTTTTATTACTAACAAAGTTGTGTATTTCACACATAAAAAAAACAATTAATCTAAAAACGTTAGAAAACAAATCCATTATTTCTTAAATTCAGTCCAAGAAGTAAATATATATTTTTTGGTTAGAAGAAAATAGTATTATTGATAATAAAAATAATAATAAATGCTCCTATAAGTTTTTCTAAAATAAAAATATTTTTTATAATAATAAAATACTATATATTACTCTCTCCATCCCATTTAATTTATCCACTTTTATTTATCCATTTTTTCTATTTTCGTTCGTTCCATATAATTTGTCATTTTCTTTTGAAATATAATTATACATTTTAATCGCATTTTAAAATTAATAATTTATAATTTTTTATTTTAATTAAATTATTTAGTCATTTTAATATTAATCTATAATTATTTTTGCTAATACATTTCTTAATTATTTACTAATTATATAATACATAAACTCTGAGCCTATGCTAAATAGAAAAAATTAGCTGGGAGGAAAGAAGTATAAATTTGAATGAAATATGTAGTTCTATATACACAAATGGGTAACAAATTAGTGGTGTAAAAGAAAAAACTTTCGGTAAATTATATAACATCCCTTTGTATTTTAGTAAAAATACACAAAATACGATTTATTTTATTTATTGTTTGAAACTTTTTTGTGTTAATGTAAAGTTTGCAAAAACACCATTTTTTGGTCCAAAACTAATATTTGGTTTTAAATAAAGATTTAAATTACGCAAATTTTATATAAATAAAAAATACAAATGATCTTAAATAATTTTTTTTGAATAAAATAAATAAATAAATAACTGATCAATCATTTATTTTTATAAAAATCAGATAACAAATTGTATGACCTCACGGTCACAAATCCAACCCCACACCACCATGTCATCCCTTACTCGACGATAGAGTAGTGTTTGGATTTTTTTTTTTTATGTAAAGTATAAAATATTGTGTCTATAATATAAAAATAAAAATTTTATATAAAATATTGACTTTTATAATAAGATAAAATATATATATTTGGTGTAATGTCGAAAAAAATTGAAGAGCAAACAAAGCCACAATTTTTATTCCTTTTACTTTTATGTTATTCAATAAAACTACATATGAATTATTTATAAAATATCAAATTAAATCAATAAACGAACAAAACATAAAAAAAAAAAAAAAACAATCAAATATTTATTTATATTTTCAATTTTATTTTGTACTAGCTCTCTCTCGATGTCAAAAATACACAATAGCTTTTTAATTGCAAGTCATTAACCAAGAGAGATAAAAAGAGATGATATGTGTATGTGAGAAAAAAAATAGTCGCAGTTTGTTTCTAAAGATTATATTTACTTTTGTGTTATTGTATTTAATATTAAAAATATATTTATATTTATATAATATTTTTTACAAATATCTTTATATCATAGAAGTATTTTTACAATTTTTTTTAATTTATATTATATTTTGATATAATAATTAATATTTAAATATTAATACGTAAAAATTAAATGAGATGTTTAAAATCGTACGAACATGTAAAACGTGCACAGTATAATCGATGACTTCTGACACAAGATGCATTCAAGGTGGTGTGAAACATCAATTACAAGAGCTATTGCTTTTGCTTTAGGAGGGTGAATTTGGTGGTTTGTCCTTGTCATTTCCTGCACGAACATTGGTGTTCTGTCACTGTTTTTTTAACATGTAAAAGATCAATATATCTGTATTCTTGTTTATATTTACTAAATTATTATAACACTTTAAGTTTATTTTGATTTGGTTTAAATTTAAATTTTGATTTAAATAATATTTTAATATAATATTTTATATTAAAAATTTAATATATTTTTATTAAAATTTAAATAGTATCAATTTGTATTTAAAATATAAATAAAACATATTCTTTACTCTTTATTCGATTAAATTAAAAGTATTTTAAATATGTTTTATTTTATACAAATTCACGTACTAATATAATATTTTCTTCGTTATCCAATTGTGTGCTCATTTGATCAGACACGAATTTTAAAAAAAATATGTAAAAATAGAAATTTTTATTTTATTTTTTTTTGTTAAAAAAAGTGGTATTTTTTTTAGAAAAAGAAAACAAAAATAAATTTAAATAAAAAAAAATAAATTTAAAGGAGGAAGAGAATAATATATTTTTTAATATACTACGTAAATAAAAACAAATGGGACGACACAAGTTGAATAAGGAAGTGGAGTATACTTTAATCATTTATTAAACGGTACGGAACAAGGCCTCTAGCAGATTAATTATTTTTTCTGAAGATATTTGTCTGACACAATGGCATATTTGTCAATGCATTTTTTGAAATTGTAACTTATATATTTATTATTAATATTATTATGGAAAAAAAAATCCGTTGAAATAAAAAATAATAATTATTTTTAATTTCAATATAAAAACATTAATTTTAATTTTATTATAAATTATTCTAATTATTTTCAATCGTTCAAAATTATAAAAGATATTTACGTATCCAAATCGCATACGGCTGTGTTTATCAATACGTAGTGTATGTGTAGATTGCAATACATCACCAAACATACATGCCCACACGCCCGTGTTAAAAAAAAAAAAAAAAAAAAAAACAAGGCCGAGTTTTTATTACAGTAAAATTTTTTAAAAAATGACCAAATAATATTTTTGGTTTTATTGTATATTATAATTATCATTTTTGGTCTAATTGA